GCTCCATGGATACCTCCTAGTATTCTCCCTTCATATCTGCTTCTGGGTTGCTTTTTTTCTTCTTGTGTTCACCTTGATGAAAAACATCTTTCAATTGTAAGGCTGTAGCTGCTCCCTGCATCTCTGCAGAGCTCCTGACAAACCCCAGGGCCCTGGCTGCCACCTCAAGCAAGCACAGCTGATCCCCTAATAGCTGTTTTCTGTAGAATGTTGCAGCAGGGAAAGGAGCAGGCAGACTTTGCTGTGGTTATTCCTGAGAGTCATAGGAGCAGTGGGAAGGGTATGAACTTGGGTGAACTGTCCTAAGGGGAAATTTAAGGGCTCATATTAGCTTTTGGCAGCATTTTCTGTTTGAGAGGAGCCTGGAGCGAGACAGAGATGTCTGGGTGTGCAAGAGGTATGAGCACAATCCTATTAGAACTGTCTTCCAGTTGCTATCATCAGCTAAGGGATGCCAACCTCTCAGGCTGGTGATGGGCCAGGACAGATGACAGCTTTCGTCACAGAAAGCAAGGACAAAGAGCAGTCCCAGTGCCCACAGCTATGTACAAGACAAGAACCTTCTTCTGCCACCTTCCCTTTCTCCAAATTATCTGATATTCTTTCCTTGCAGCATTCGGGAAGTTGTTAAAACTTGAGAAGTGCATGCAGAAGAAACACCTCCTACATGGGGTTTTTGCTCCAGTGGAGTAAGCGAGGGAGGGTCAGTGGAGGCTACTTGCAAAAAAGGAATGTTTCCTGCATCGTCTAAAGCAAAGTTGTGACCACAAGGTTTGCTTTCTAGTGATTGCAATGGTTTCACTCAAGTCTGAGCAGAAGAAATTTGATCCAATGTTTGTAACAGTTCAGATGTGCCCAAACTTGAGCCTAGAGTCCCTGCCACTAAAGACTAGGTCAAGCGGATTTACTTTCCTCTGGTCATTGAGCAGCTGGAGAGAATGAAGCAACCTGTCACATATTCTTAAGTTGTGATTAATGAGACGCATGTGTGGTGGTTTCAAGGTAAGATGAGACTTCAACAACCAGCAACCTAACAATCATTGCAGGAAAGGTCTTGTGAGTGGCACAGAGAGGTGGACCTGTATTGCTCTCACTTACTATGGTAACACAGATCTGTTTCCCTAGCAAAAAATTGTGAAAGCAACGTATTTGATTTCATGTACTCCTAGTAATTTTAAACTCTGTGGCCCTAAATAACATTGACTCTACTGACAGGTCCTTTGTGGCTGATGCACCCTGGGATTCCTCAGTACACAACAGAAAGGGCAGAAAGAATACATAACTACAGGTTCCACCTCTGTGATGCCTGATACAGTGCTACCTGAATGCATTGGGTTTATGTGTATTGTGTAAAGTTTTTATAGCTTTTGCTAAGCAAGTGATTAGAGACAGCTGTGAGTGTTTATAGGGAAACACGAGATGTAACAATGAGGAGGAACGGGATTCATGAAGTCCCTAAGCCACTGGTTGCTAAAGAGGTACATGAAGATCAAGAATCACTTCATACCTAGCACATTTCTTATAGTCTTTCCATAAGCTTCTGTTACTGAAATGCAGGATAGTTGTTTAGATAGACCTCTGAACTGACTTGGAGTAGCCATTCTTTTGTGCTTATTCTGTAAAAATGCTATGCTCAGGAGGTTGTGTGGCATGGGTAAGTGTGTTCCAGTGACATAATTTTGTGACACTAATTTCCTTGCATTGCATTTTTCCCCGGAAGGGACATGCTAACACTACTAGAGTCTGCAGGAATAGATGGCTAACCTCCTCCAGTGTTTTTGAAAATTATGTAAAGACTGTTTGTATCTTCAGGCATGTAATTCCTTAGGAAAACTGGCTCTTGAACTCCAGAGCAGATACGCTTTTATGGCTATTTGCTTAAATGCATCTGGAACATTTACAAACAGCTCTTCTGAAAAACAAGAAAAAGAAAAAAACCCACACCTTTAGCTTTAATTCCCTCGCACATCTGAATGAAGAGAGCAATCAAGAGATGCAGGGCTTTGGGCAATACCTTAGAAAGTAATTATTCAATTATTTTATGTCATGTTTGCTTCACTGATTAATGATTCTAGTGGCTGGTGAACTGGATTCTGTTCTGTTTTGACAGAAAAGGAAAGGGCTTTAGTATAGGGGCTCTAGTATTTCTAACAGTGCAGATGTATTTAATTGTTTGGCATGATAACATAAAATTGGCGAAATGGGTTTGGCTCTGGTGACTGTTACTGGTTGGATAATACAGAAGATAGAATATACTGGGGCTTAGAGTTTAAGGTTTGAGAAAGAGAGGTACATGCTTTCTCCCCTCTCAAGGCCTGCTAACGTGCCCGGGTCCTGCCTTAGGTGGAGTACAAAGTGATTATTTGTGCCAGACCGTATTAGTGATCCTGGGCAGGCCCCCTTCACAATCCAGGTGCCTCCCAAAACCACACACATGATCTCTGGTATATGGGCTGGGTTTGCTGAGGTGGGTCTCTTAGAAGTCTGGATTTCAACTTTGTGTCCATTTAGCAATTTTACACATCTGCCTGATATTTCAATATTCAGTTACTTTCCTTTTGGGAATAAGTGATCTTTCTGCTATTTAATTACTTCAGAAAACCCTGTGGTTTGCTGATGTGAGCAGAATTCCCTAGTATTCCCAGTGCAAGCATACACGCTTCTAACTTCATAATGGCACGCACGTGTGCAGGCACTCCAGTTCAGAGAGTCTGTGGTTGATGTATCCCCACAGAGACAGGTGTTCCTGTTGGATCTCCAGGAGAGGTGATGGAAAAACGCTAACTTCCTTTTAGAAATAATTTAGAGGGGAGACAGAAAGAGACTGAAAGGATTTTAATCAAAAATTACCTGCAGAAATCTTCCAGGGTTGTTTTTTTTTAAAGCCAGAATGAAAACAATCTTCTGTGCCCATTAAGTGATTTAAAAATGAAACCCCCGTTTTTTGATAAAATAATTGCCCTTCAGTAAAAAAACCTGAAATGTAGAAACAAGATTTTTATTTCAATTATTTATTAATTTATTATTTATGTTGTGCTGGCATCCAAGACTGAAAGCTTGTGTAGCAGTGTAGATCTGTTTCAGCTGACCTGAGTTAGCCTATGTGTATTTTGGGATGGAGGCAAGGAAGGTTGTAGATTTGGTTCCAGAAACAGTGAGGTAGGAACAAAGGCAAAAGTGACAGAGAACCATACTTACTCTACATATCATCATGTAGACTTTACATGATCTAGTAGAACCAATGCTATTTCTGGGTCATTTTTGCATGCACAAAAAATAATAAAGGACCTTTGTTCTTACGAAGTTTGGTAGAAGTAAGATCATTGAGATCTCAAGAGAAAAAACAGACTTTGTGATACTTCTCATACTTGACAATCAGTTCTCTCAAGAACATTGCACTAGATTTCTGAACCAGCAAACTTCTGTTATGTAAATACCTCTCAGATCTAATCCCTCTGTATGCAGCCCTCTGTTCTTGCAGTTTCAGATCGAATCAGCTTGCAAAATTTTACACTCATTTCTGGATTGTATGTAGCTCAGGATTGTGTTGATTTACAGGGAGCACTCAGCAGTGAGCAGTTTTCTTAGTACATAAGGTAGTATTAGTGTTTTAAGTTTTTGGGAGCATTAGTGTTTTCTTGTAGTATGACTGTTTGAAGGGATTTTTGCAAATAGTGGATGCTTCACCTGAGACTGGGCTAATAGGCTGATGATTAGCTCCTGCCTCCCTCCCTGGGAATATAGGAGATGCTGGTTCAAAGTTCTGGTCCAAACTGGGCACAGCAGTCAGTTGACCTTGCTCCTCCCAATTGACTGTGCTAACCAGTGGACTGCTCTTTTGGAACTGAGTATATATAGAGGATTGAATCAACAGACAAGAAAAATAAGGAACTTCTTGCCTCTAAATGTTAGGGAAATTATTCACAATGAATTACTGCTTGATTTAAAATCAGAATTTTAAGTTTCCTGCAGACCACAAAATTTTCCAGATTGTTGGGCTTTTCTGGTCTCTGTATTGGTCTGTTTCCTTTCTACACCATCTCTCAGCCATAGAAACTGTTCCAGAAAAAAGGCTTTTCTTTCTTCATCAAAACTGGTCAATTTCCAAGAAAACTTTCTATGAACTAGCATATATGACTGAAGAACTACTTTGTTGAAATATTCCCAATGCTTCTAAGTTGTGGCTTAAAAATTCCTTTATTTTAAGGGCCAAGTTAATTTGTTCAGGAGAAAGAAAAAGAAAGTGAGTCTTATGATCCCAAGGGAGGTTTTTTAAACTATTCCAGAATGTTTAACTAAGTCTTTAAGGCAACTAGAATCACAGATTCATGTATTTTGATTGGCCTTCTGTATAATATAGGAAGGAAAATTGCCAGTGCAAGGAGTTTTGTGTTACTGAGACTTCAATCCATTGTACGCTGATTCAGCTGTCCGTGGTGAGATAGATACCTAGAGTATTAGAACCTTTCCTTGCTAATTGCTCCCTGGGATCCCTTTGCAGGAATTTTTCAGGTATAGATTTCACTGGGATCTAAATAAAAGTATTTGCGTTTTCTCTGTATTCTAAATACATGAATATTTATTATATACCACTGTTTATCTGTATGATGCTGTGTAAGTCACTTCTTACCTCAGTGCTTCAAACCCCTGCCTGTGTAGTAAGTATTGCTGTCTAACAAGTTTTGCAGTGCTGACTCCTGCAATGTTTGCAAGCTCTTCATGTTCTGTAGTGGTGTTGCCAAATATAGCCACAGATAGATGGCGAAAGAACAGATTTACTGGGGGAAAAGGGCATCAGACCCTCCCACTACTAGTACTACAGAGGCATGCACTGTCAATCATACATAATTTTGTGACTGCATCCATATAGACATGCCAATCAAGATGGCAGCTGTTTTGGTACAAACATGTGTCCTGCTGCATCATTGGGTCTTGCTCCCTGCTGTCCCTTTCTCCTGTGTTACCCACTCCTGGCTTTATTATGCTTGATTCCGTACTAGGTCACATTCAAGTGCTCTGTGGCAGTTGTGCAGGGGCATACCACACTGGAAGGAGTGCTGCTCTTCGGCAAAGAGCACTTTTACATCTGTGAGTGCTTTGTGTTATCCCCTTTAGAAGAAGTCTACTGTACACGTCACTGCTTGTCCAGGTGAGTAATTCTTTCCTCCTGGAGGTCTGATTGGTTAACTTCAGTGTTGGCACATGGATGCCTAGAATTTGCACAGTCTTTGAGGGGATTTCAAGAGGGATATTAGCATGGCAAGAAGTTTGCCATCCTTTCTATCTGTTCACAGAATTGTTTTAACATAACTAACATAGGTGCTTGTTCACAGGCTTTGGAGGTGCAACAAGAACTCCCAGCTCCAACAGATGGAGATGGTGGGGAGTCTAACACATACGTTGCTGTTTTCCAATTCTTTTAAAGTGTTGCTAATGTTTCTTTCTGATTGGCTCCCATCTTTTATTCATACGGAACAGTCATTACAAGACCCTTTAGCTTCATTGTCTCATAAGTTTTTTGTTTGTTTCTCCAAGACAGAATTGTAATTAATATTTGGCACACTGCTATCATCTTTGACTCATGATTTATTGAAACTGATCAATATTGAAAATGAGTCTGTTAGACTTAGCTCTTTGTGCATACTGTGTGCTCATGTGCAAAACCCAGTGGGACGGTGAGTAACTCAGTGTTTTTACTCCCTGAGTGTCTGCTCTGCATCCGTTTCTTACTAAGTCCAATATCAGTCAATCTGATCAGGTGACTTAAGGATTGATTGGACTGGGTCTGATAAAAGCTTAGGTTGTTTTTCTAAGGGATTTTCTATGGGCTGGTCTGTAGATAGCAATTGCAGTACATGTACACAACTAAACTAATAATGAATTAATTGCTTAATTATTAGTTCCAATTAATTGCTGTTTATAATAGCTGTGTGTTGATATGATGCTTGCCCTTGACCTAGGCTTTCAGGTTCTCCAACCAAGCTTCTTCCTGTGCTGCTTCTCAGACTTCAGTGTGTGCAAAATATTGCCGTCTGCCTATTTACATGCACTAAAATAATTCCATACCTACCCTTAACCTCCACAGGCTCTTTATTTTATTTTGGGAATTAGTACAAAATCTGCCTTCAGTATTTATTTTTGTTTTCAATTCATGTATGTTCCAGTTGATCTTGCTGTCTCTTAGTATTTTTATCCTTCTTTAGGGAGGACTTGGATGTTCATGACAGCTCTCCTGATCTTTTTTGTTTCAAATTATTTTTTCTTTCTTTATATTCCTCTCTTCCAGTATCAGTGATCCGTTTATTTTCAACTTATGTCATAAAGATCATGCTGTGGGAGACCAGATGTGTTCCCGTTATTCGTATCAGGATATAAAAGAGATTCACCTGATGCGCTTTCTTCTGCAGGTAGGAACTAACTGCGTGGTCATTTGAGGGAAAGCTGCACCAGCAGTAATGACATACGACTGAAAACTACTTGCACAATTTTTACTACGACTGCTCAGATTTCTCTGCTTGAGTCCCAAAATACTTTTGCTCCCATCATTGCTTCATTAGCCTTTGGTAATACAAACTCCTTCTTGTATTCACCAGAGTGTTTAAGCACCCTTACTGCAGTGGTTGGCTGCTTAGTTGTTAGGCTAACAATGTTCTTCACAGTTTATCTCAATATTTTTGAAAATAAGACTTGAAGTCAATTTCTTGTGTTTTGATGGAAGCTCCCAGTAAGTGTCTGGCTTTGAGTAACACTCAGCTCCTGCAGACTTCAGTAATTTTGGACATCAGTGGATTATGGGTATGTGTAACACACTTAACCTAGGCCTCTTGGAGTAACTTTCAAGTTGTGTGTGTGAGTCAATATATGAATCGTAAGTCGGAGCAGAGGATTTGAATCTGCTGTGCCTTTAGCTGCACTACCCAGAAGCCACTCATGACAAGTAGCCTGGTACCCTTTTAGTTTTGTCTGGTTTAGATGAGCCTGTGACGAGAATCACAGAAGAGCTGTAGCTAGAGCCCCTTGCAGCACCAGAGCCTGTACTTGCTCTAGAGGGTTTTGGTACAGTCTAAATAGTAATTGAAAGATTTTGTTTGTCAAAAATACGGAGTTTTGAAGCAGCTATAACTAGTTACCTGTTATTTTGGATCCATTTTTAGAAGGTTGAGATCCAACAGATAATTAAGAAATCAAGAAAGAGTTGGAGAAAATGAGACTGATAATTGTCTTATGTCATGTAGTATGGCACTCATCCATGACTCAACCCTGGTTTATTTTATATTTAATTATCTATGCAAAATGGATAATTTCAGTAGATAAGATTTGCTTCAGGATATAGCATATCTGAGTGGTTAGGTCACTCTCTAAGCATGTGTAGGAATGTTAAGCCTTGTTCTGAGTAACTATATGAAGCTTATTTTCTTACATCACTGGTAAGCAACCTGAGCAATAGAACTGTCACCTCTTCTGTTTTGTGAATAGCATCAAAGTTGCCAGTGGAATCTTGCTCCCTTCTCATATATTCAAACATATGTGTATGCCTGGATTTTTTTAAACATGTGAAGTGGAAATGTTTTGTGTGACCCAAAGTGAAAAATGGAGATGAGTGAAAACAGTCTTTGAATGGGCTTGGGGCAAAGGCAGAGCTTGCTGATTTGTGGGGTTTTTTTTGTGGTTTCTTGTTATCTTTTTTCTTTTTTGGTTTATTTTTGCTTTGTTTCAATTAATGAACTGAAAACTCAGGTATCTGTCAGGCTCTCAAATTCTTGCACTGGGACACCATGCTACAAACTGCTTTGAAAAAATATTGCAGAAAAAGAAAACTGAATCCCTGTGCTTTCCCTGCAGGACAGGTGGATCAGCTGTTCAGGCAGCTACTGTGCCTCAGAGAGCTGATCTCCTGTTCATGGAGGTGGGTGATGGAACCAATATCTGGAGTTAGATTTTGCTTCAGAGAAGCATTTGAACTCCTAGTTAACCCAGTAGGACCATTCCTACAGTTGGAAAAAATGGGAATATTAGACATATTTGCTACACTTCTTCACACTTGAGACAAAGTCAAGGCCTTTTTTTTATTTTTTTTTTTAAAGCTCTGAAGAATTGGATAGGCCATGATGGACTCTGCAGCACTAAGCTTTGCTCTGCAGCTCTTCACAATGTAAATGTTTTACCTTTCCAGGAGATTGCCTTGGAAATATTCTTCAAAAATGGTTATTCCAGATTTCTTGTCTTCCATGACAGCGACCGAAATAAGATATTTAAGAGGTAATCACTACTTCATAATAACATGTGAACACCCAGGTGACAGTCCTGGTCTATCACCCCTATTTATCCTGGCTTCAGAGGTCTGTCTTGTGCTGCCCCAGGGGCTTTTTCTTCAGTTGCAGCTCCTTGGTCTTTAATGGGTTATGCTTAAGCAAAGCTATAAAATTTTCCTTTCGCTGACCTGTGAATTCTTCAGACCATTATATAGCCATTGATTTATCAAGTGAGCTAGTGCACGTGTAGACTCTTCTAGCACCCAGCAGTGTGTTGTGTGTCCCTGCATCCCAGGAAATTGCAACTATAGCTGTGCTGCTTCCTCTCACTGAGATGACAAAGACCTCCATCTCACTTCACAGTACTGGGTGAAAGAAGGTTTCTTCTTGCTTTCTTCGAACACACAAAGTGTCATTAGATTCCTTAAGAATAAAATGTTTCTGCCTCTCTGACTTTGACTTTATCCTTGGTGTGGAGTTAACCTTTAACAATGGAATTTTTGTTCAAAAAAGGTTTCTCCTTATGTTCTTGTCTAATTCAATGGAACTTGAATGTAAGACTCTGACATGATTAATTTGCACTTTGTTTTCTTGCCTTTTTTTTTTTTTTTTTTTTCTACTGCAGTTCTGGCCATTATATCAGGTTTACTTTCACTGTACTTTACACAGGAAAAAGACTTCAATATGTAGTATTTCCTGTGGTAAATTCTGCAGCCTGGACTGAGGATTGGTACTGTTAATTTCTAAACAATCATAGCAGTTCCTTCTGCTCCTGAAATCTCTGAGAAGTTTCTAATGGAGTATTGCTTAAAAAGGTCATGCAGATTTATCTATTCTTCCTTTCTAAACTGGCAACATAGGATGGCTACTTAAAATCACCGGGTTCTGCCCCAGAGCCAGCTGCTTTGTTTAGCCCCTATCTTTGCTGTCTCTCAGTTCTGACAAATATCTCTTGGAGGAATCTTGCAGAGGCAGTTCAAGATAAGGTTTTGATTCTCAGCTGCCTGTAATGCCTCTCAGCTGAATGTCACCAAACCTATGTATTTCAAGGGTTTAGCATGTCTGACATCATAAATCCACAGTGAAAGCAAATAGGAATGGCTTAGACATGGGTTGGTATTCCTTTCTGGCATTTTTGCTAGATAAATGTCTGAGTGTGTTCTCATTCTCTGGCTTTAATTTATAGAACCTCAAGCCACCTGATCATAAGTCCATAGCCCTGTATATCAACTCAAGGTCCTGTTTGGGAAAGAAACTGCTTTTATCCAGCCCATAGGCAACTCCTTAATGTTATATGTATGCCTTTGCTGTGTTGTCTTGCAGCTTTGTCCTAGGTTAGAGTCTCAGTGAAATGCTGTGGTGTCCTTCAGGAAGAAAGTTGCTGTCAGGACATGATATAGATTATAGGCATATGTAATGTATACAGATAAACATTTAAATAACTATAATGTGACCTTTCATATCTCCTATAGATTTTGCTCTTTCCAACCTGCTTTGAAGTTGAAGGGGATAACAGAAGAGTCACTGAATATAAGGTAAAACATAGGAAACATTGGATAACTGTAGATAACTGCAATTGCGTGAATAAGTTGCCCCTTAAAAAAAAATAATCTAGAAACTTACCTATTTGTGCCCCCTATTTTAAAGATTCAAAGGTGTTCCCATAACTCCAAAAAGCATTCTAGTATATGGCATCCATAGTATGAAGACATGAAGAACATGTTGAGTATCTGACAGTGCATAGAGGATTAATAATTATTACATCCTTAGTATAACTTTCTTGGTAGACTCTACAAAGACAGGTAGTGTGGGAAGGAGACAGTCAGTGAGGTGAGGTTAAAGCTAATCCATAATGCCTCTGCATAATGTCCTCTTTATTGCATGGTTAGGGCAGACAGAGATAGATGTGCACATGGATGTTTTGGCATGTTATAGTAACTGTGCAGTGGAGATTCCAACTTGTTGTCCCTCAGATTTACCACTGTAGGGGAAAAAAGTTTTCTCCTAGTGTGACGTGATTGAGAGCATGTTCCATGCTGACCTTGAGTTACTTGCATACTTGTAACTCTTCTCAATTTGGGTATCTGAGTCCTAAGTGCCTAATTGGTGTCTTCTGAAATGATCACCTGGAGACTGGAATACTGTTGAGACCTGAGGGGCAGCTTACCCCTATGAGTTGTTGTGGCCTCTGTCAACTGGACTCTTCTTTATACTTTTCACTACCTGTTATAGGTCATTACCTATCTTGTAAGTGAACATTCTCACCCCTGAGTACCAGCCATCAGCTTGCAAAATGTGTCAGTGCAGTATGCAGCCAGCCCTGGCTCAAGCCTAACCTGTGCTAGAGGTCATGGTTGACTCTATGGAGCATCATGTATGTTCTGTGTAGAGTAACTAGTAACTCACCCCAGGGTTTCCTTTCCCTGTTCTTGCTGGGTGCTCAACAGGTGGGAACGTCTTGAGATAAGATCCACTATGGCTGCAGGAACTTTGGGCTTTAGCTGGGCTTGTGATTATTGTGAGAAACACTTGACTCATGTTTGGTCTGAGAGATTGAAGCAGGCTGTATGTCTAGGTCTGAAGTAACCTGTCCTGAATCCCGTAAATCTCTGCCTTCAGTTTTGCTCAGTTGGCTGAGAGAGGACCCTGTGTACCTTATTCACTCTGAGAATGTAAGGGACCTTTGGCATAGCTTTGGCTGGGCTATGTTAGAGCTTGAGCTGAAATAAAATAAACATAAGATAGTGCCACTGCCTAAGTAATGATCCCAGAAAAGTTGTGCTTAAGTGGAGAATAAGAGAAAATGACCCCGATGGGCATGCTTCCCTTCACCAAGCTCCAGTCTGGGAACTGAAGGACTGAGGACTTGATGAGTTTACTTTTCCCTTGTTTGAATTCTGGAGCCACTTCTGAGTCAGAAAAATTAAAGAACAGCATGAGGGGCTCCTTCCCCATATAGGGGACATTGGCCATCTTCCATAGCATCCCTGCTTTTTCTGCCCTACGTGAGACAGGGAGGCAGGCCAGACTAAGTTCTTTGCCCAGACACACTATTAATAATTGCACAGCTGAAGCATGGGAAGAAGAAATTACTAGTTTGATGTATCATATGACATTGAGATAGTAGCATTTCTGGGAAGCCCCATATCAGTTTTTCCATCTAGTCCATAGGAATAATACACAGGAGTTCTGACTCCTAGGCTCTACTGGAGTCATTTAAAAAATTATAATGGGCTGTTACTGGACAACTGTGTACTTTGCCTCTGGGACTTTATTCTTCATTTAAATATACTTAAATATTTGATGTCACCATATGTTACTACAGCCTCAGCCAGCACCTCTTTTCATGTCATGCTTGGCTGCTTTTATAATCTGCTCATTTGCTTGTACCTGTATATTGTTGTTTGCAGGCTGTCAGCACTCTCTACCCTAGGGATGTGATTTGAGCAAGTGAATGTGTACGCTCAGGTGCACATGTGCATGCGCACATATGAACAGAAAGCTAAAAGTACTGTGAGGACACCAGACCTGATTCCATCAATTCACCAACTGACTCTTGGAACACAGAAGAGGGTGACTCCTCTTTGTCACTGCTTAAGTGATATGCCCAGGACCCTTAAAAAGAGCAATCTTTTCCCTACTCCTTCTCCACCTTTCTTGGAGAGAGACTCAGAGGCAGACGAAGCACAATGAGTATAGGTAGTGGTGCTGATTGTGTTGTGCAAGTTAGAGATCACTGCACCGGGGTATAGCACCCAAAATCCCAGAGAACTTGCTTATGCAGAGTCTGGCCCCTTGATGGCAAACAGGATTGCTGGTTGTTTAGCTCTAAGCGCTGTGTTTGCACTGCTTAATTACTTGTGAGCATAACGTTTGTGTCTGCTGCCTCTGCTGAATTGGAATGGGTTCATGGTTCCTACACTGACAGTGCCTATCTAAGATTCTCTGAGGGGTTGGTGGCAGCCACCAGCAGCAGAAGGTTCCTAGGTCTGTTCCTTTTCCTCCAAATGGTATTTACTGAGTCTAGTTTAACTGTGTCTCACCATATGAAAATGAACAGGACTACTGTTTGGGGCTCAGTGGTGGAGTGGAGTCACTAGAAAAATTTATCTTTTCAAACATTCCTTTACTGGACACTTGCGGACACAAAAAAACCCACAAAAAAACCCAAACCAACGCAAACATGGAGAACATGTTGTAGGAACAGTCTCAGATGGAAATAGTCCTTTCTTTCCCAAATGCACCCTTTCCCAAATATACATCTGTTTTAGTTGTTTTGGATTTCATTTTAGAAACCACACAGATCTACTGCTTCTAAAACTGAGTAGATCTTTAAAGGAAAAGAACTGCAGGAAAAGGGAGGAGGAAGGAGGTCAGCTTTTTATTAACTTTGGGCTGGACTTCGTGGGACACGGTCTGTGGAGTGCCTTGGTATATTTCAGGGATGTTTGCCTCTTAATCTCCATTCTTCTTAGTTATCCTTTGCAGGGGAATTGGGTGTAAGGAGTACAGGGAAACTTGGCTTCTTTGAGGGGCTAGGTGTCACATTCTTTAATTTGTTCAGCTTGTCCTTCTCATACTGACACATCTTCAGACAGGAACAGCATAGGTCTTTCTCTTGTACTAAGTAAAGAGTTTCTGTGCGTTTAATGGAGTCAACATGCTCGTCTTGCTTTGTTGGATCTGGGAAAGGGTTTCTTTTTGTATTCACTTTCTTGAGCTTGGGTAGATTTTTCACACTGTTTGGGATGGTGGTCAAGGCATTGTCAAAGAGACCTATCTCCTTAAGTTCCTTCAGAGCCCCAAGACTGGTGGGAATACTGTCAAGACAGTTCAAGCAAAGGTTGAGAATATGCAGGTTCTTGAGAAGGTTCAGGTCTTCTGGCAGATTTTTAGTGGTCAACTTGTTGTTGCATATATTCAGGTAGAAAATGTTCTGAAGCATACCTATTGCCTTGGGCAGCTCCTCAAGCTGCTTACTATGCAGGCCCAGCCAGCGTAGTTTCTGAAACTTCTGGATGCTGCTTGGAATCTTTTTTAACATGTTTCTGCTCAAATCAAGTTCATCCATGTCAGCCAGTTTCAGAATGCACTTGGGGAAGGTGGTGATACCCATCTTGCTTAAGTCAAGGTGACACCCTCCATCAAAAGATACCTATATAGAATTTTTGGTGATTTTCAAGGTGATCTTTTTCCCTTTTTGACCTTTTGCTTTCCCCTTGGCCATCTCTCCACTGACAGACAGACACACCAGACTCTGTGGATGAAATGTGGGAACTCCAGTAAAGCCTTTGAAAGTAGTGGCTGTTACTCCCTAATTAAAAACAAAATAATCACATAGTTATAAATGAACATGTGACTACTGGACTCTTCAGAAGTCTTTTTTTTTTTTTTAAGATCAGGACTTTTCAACCCTAAAGCTGCAACTCAAAGTTCTTCCTGAAAGGATTTTGAGTAGGTGAAATTCTAATAATTTATAATATTATTTTATTGCATTGTAACACTTATATTACATTACAGGGTGAAATCACAAGTGGGAGAAATTTGCGGTCTTTCAACCCTAGATACTGATTTGAGCTCTACATGTAATGAAACTGAGTGAAATGTGTTATTATACATCAGCCTTTTGAGGATCTGAGCAAAACATATTGTGGGTCTCAGTCCAGTCCTTAGGGACTACACTAAAAGAAGTTATCCAACATTGTACTTATTCTATCAGACCAACAGGTTGCCTTATTTACAGGCCTGGCATCTATTGACTGGTTGGTTAAACATTCTGTTTAATGGACCTCAGATTTAGGCTTTGGATGCTATTAAAAGATTAAATATTTAAAGCAAATGGTTGACGATCTTGTTTTAACCAGGACCTCAGGAAAATAGTGGACTCCCAGATTTGCCAGGACTGCTTGCAGTTCATACATCATTTGCAAGGCAGACTGCAAAAGGGAGTCTGTGTCAGTGCTGCTTAATGACATCTTAAACCAGGCCTTGCTAAGTGTCTCTTGTGCTTTCAAGGACAGACTCTGGATACTCTAACCTTGTCTTTCCATGTATGCTGTGGGACAGATGGACTCCTGCTGTGAAGGTGCCTGCCCTCAAAAAATGCATGTAGGTGTTCTGGTTGGACTTTCGACTTGTACTGATGCTCAGCATGTGCTAAGTGCTTTGTTGAATTGAGGCCTGTATGAGTAGTAGTCCACTATAGTCTCAGGTTTGGTGAACTCTCTCTGTAATCAAAGGTCATCAAATACAGCTGCTAATTATAGCTAGTGACAAAGGAAATAGGGTGATTCCCTGGAAATGGATGACAATATCCCTCTCAACCAGAGTGCAGAGAGGAGCACGGGTTACAGCTGGCTAATCTCAGGATGGTCTGGGTGCTCTGGCATTTAATTGTGATGAGTCAAATTGCAGCTTTGATGAATGATTGGGACAAAATATGGATTTGTCTACAATACATTTCCCTATTAGAAAGGCTTCATTACAAACCCTTCAGGCTTTTGGGCTACTCATTAATCATGTGCAAATACATGAA